ATATATATATATATATAATTTGTCCTGGAAGCACAAAAGCTTTATGCAGTACTCCTGTTCCTCGACGTTTCCCGGTTAAGGGAAAAGGCCATTCATACAAATTACAAAGGTGATCTGACTCCAATGGTAAGAAGAGAAAGAAATTTTACTTACAGAAATAGAAGCATGTCTTGCATGACATATCCATGTAGGTGCATTTAACTTAATGTGAACAGATTAATTTCAAAAGAGGTTAACTTGCTGCAGCTCCAAGCCCAGGTAAGAGAGAGGACCTATATAAGGTGAAAAACAGAAGGGAAGCAACGGCCAAGGAGGCTCGGCAGCAATGTTCCCTCTAAGCTGTGGAGTCCTGTGAGCAAAAATTCTGCTTTGTGAGCTACTGGCATTAAAGTTGTGAGCGAGCGAGCGAATTGGCTGCTGCATATGTTAGTTTGCTCTGGAGCCATCCTTCCTGAGCTGAGACAAAAATGGGTGAGCCGAAGGCTAAAAGACTGTGAGCTAGCTCACACTAACTCAGCTTAGGGGGAACACTGCTCAGCATCTACCCGATGAGAGGGTGGGGGCCAACTGCCAGGTATACCTGAGTAAGAGAATTCTCTTAATCCGTTGCCTCCCAGATCTTCTCGCATGCAGAGTTACAGTACCCAACACCGTGATGATCTGCAGTAGAAGAGCAAGGTTCACGTCCGGTAGCACATTAAGGGTGCGGTCAGACAGGCCGTTTAGTCCGCTTTCAGCATGCTTCAGCAACGGATTTTATATCCACGTTCACACACCCAACATCTGTGCACCATCCCCAGCCGTCAGTTTCCGGCTCAAACCCCCTTTAAACTGGAATATTTTGCTACAAGGTCCCCAAGTGGTGTTTTCCTGATTCTCCGGTTCTAGCCGCACTTTTCTGATGTCTGATCGCTCCTACGGTGTCGAGCCACTTCCGGGTGTCTCGACCCCCTCCCCTCTGGAAAGCTGCCCGAGGCTTTCGCTTTTCGCCCGCCATTTTTTTAATGTGTTGGCGGTATCAGCTATCTGCCATGTTTTGTTTGCTCCTTTCTCTGACCCTGGCGCTACGGCGCATGCTTCATAGCTTGCTCGCTGCTCTGCTCGCTTGCCGTAAACAGCGATAGGGAGACTGTGAGAACCAGTGCTGCCAGACTGAGTTATCTGTCTGAGCTTCTGATGGAAGGAGGGCTTGCGTTCCACCGCTGGTGTGAATCTTTCAGCTCTCATGGGGCACTGAGACTCTCCAGCTTATTATGTAACCTTCCGCCGGGAGAATTCCCGCCCGCGCGCTCAGATTTCATTTGCTTAGTCATTTGCCTCATCCTGCTATATTTTAGGGATGTTCCCACCCTATTGTCATTCCTATATGGCCAGGGTCCAGCCTACCTGAGGGACCGCCTCTCCCCGTATGTTCCCCCAAGAGCACTATGGTCGGGGGCCCAAAATTTGTTAACTATTCCGGGCCCTAGGGACATCAAATTAACTGCTACTAGGGTCAGGGTGTTTTCGGTGGCGGCTCCTACCTGGTGGAATGAGCTCCCAGGGGAGATACGGGCCCTGCGGGACCTTATGAAGTTCCGCAGGGCCTGCAAGACGGAGCTCTTCCGCCAGGCTTTTGAGTAGGAGCTGCCGCCCCTACTATACCACCACTGCCCTGAGGAAACATCTGAAACATCTGGATATTGAAGAAGCCCTAGCCGTGGGACTTAGCCATGGTACCACTCGGAATTTTGGACCTATGATTTTCTATCTTGGGACTGTTGGAAGTATTACTATGTTTTAACTGAGGATATTTTAAGATGTATTAGATGTTTTGCATTATTATGCATTTGATGTTTTTATTATGGCAAGGTTCTGCCTTGCCTCTGTAAGCCGCCCTGAGCCTATTGAGGAGGGCAGGGTATAAATTTGAAAAATAAATGAATGAATAAATAAATAACAATAACCCTGTGGACACAGTAACAGACCTGTAGTCTAATAAAGCATAACGCTTCCCTGGAAACGTGTGTGGAGATGTACTTGCTGTTGAACCTGACATGCGGTATGCACATAGACGGAGCTCCGCCCCCGCATTCAGAAAACCAACATTTAAATGTTCACTTGTTTTAGAGTTTAGATGAGTTCAGGATCTCACGGAGGCCATTTTCAGGTCAAACGTTTAAAGGGAAGTCTTTTGTCGGAGGGGTTGGGTTGATTCGCCCTGGTGGTTCCACGCATGCGCCATGGTAGTTTCGCTCCCCCATTCTATGGAGGGGCGCCTATGCGCATGCGCAAACTGAGAGAGAGGAAAAACCCGCCGACACACGCTCCAGCACGTCGGTAGAGTAGTTGCCAGGGAGCGACGTGACTGCGCAGTGAGGCGGGATAAGGGAGGTAAGTGTGATGGCGATGATCCGGATCAAATATAATCCGGTTAGAACCGGAGCAGTTCATCCCGCTCTCCGCATGCCGTCTGACCGCACCCAGTGACTAACAAGCATAAGCTTTCCAGGATCAAAGCTCCTTTTGTCAGTTACCTTGACTCTTGCATCCGTGTTGTCAAGATGCCATGGCCTTCCTCCACAAAGACTTTTCGTGGTGGTCTCCCTTCCAACGACTGATCCTGCTTAGCTCACGAGATCTGGTGGGACCGGGCTATTCCATGCAGCCTTTCCTCCCTAGAAAGCTAACCCCCTGAATATCTTGTTGGTCTTGAAGGTGCGTGTCAGAACCCACAGCTTACAATGAAGTACACGCATGCAGGAACGGTTATACTTTTATTGCAAAGCTATAGATGCAGTAACACAGGCACTGTTAGGAATGGCCGCAGCCACTAGAGCAGAATAGGATATAGGGTATTCGTATGCACACACTCCCCCCATGGCATGGGCCAATTAGGTACCCTCCCGCATGCGGGACAAGTTAGGAAACCGTTAGCTGGCTAAAGCTGGGAATTGGGAGTCTCTCACGGTACATAGAAGACAACACAACCTCCTCCTGCACATCTGTAGAGATAAGCGTTTCGGCAAAGGCAGAACAGCAGGGATAGGAATGCAATAGCACTTAACAGGACACAGAATGAACTCCCCAACCCCCATGGCAGCATAGCTGACAGTGCGCCTGGACTTCAATAAAGATCATACAGTTTGCTTTGTGGGAAACGGATGTGCTTTTACAGGCCGGCCTCCTGGAGCTTTTCTCCTAGATCTCCAGGTGCATGACTTGTTTTTGGCAGGAGCACTGGCTGCCAGACTGCAACACTGGCTACTTGGCACATGCTAGCAAGCCATAGTAGGTAACTCACTGAAGGGGTTGACTCAGTGTGTGACTGCAGTCAAAAAGGCAAATGCTGTGCTGGGGATTATTAGGAAGGGGACTGAAAACAAATCAGCCAGTATCATAATGCCCCTGTAGAACATGTAATTTTTGATTGTAAAGTGTATAATAACATCTGCGAGTCTCTTCCTTTCCCTAAGACGCTCCCACTCTCTCGCAAGCAAAGAATCTGCCTTTTAAGAAATTTGCTATCGGATAGCCGGGGAGAAGTTACGTATCAGGTGGCTAGGTTCGGATGGCTTGCCCTAAGAATTAGAAAATCTATAGTAGCTTTGAAAAGAGGAGAATTAAGATTAAGTTTTATTAAATTTAACTATTATAGTTTTTATGGTGTTTTTATTACCAGTCTTAAAATTCTGCTCCTATTTTAATGTGATATATTTTACCCATGTTACATTGTTTTATGTGTTGGTCAATGACCGTGAATAAAACTTATTTATCTATCTAATGCCCCTGTATAAATCTATGGTGTGGCCTCATTGGGAATGCTTTGTACAGTTCTGGTCACTGCACCTCAGAAGAGATATTCTAGCATTGGGAAAGGTGCAGAAAAGGGCAACTGAGGCCCCTGCCACACGGGGGGGGGGGGATGCGGGGCCTAAGTGGGGCTTTTGGAAGCGGCACCAAAATAGACACGCGGCGGCAGGATCACACGGATCCCCTGAGCTGTGGCGCTGTTGCTCCCCGGCACAATCAGATGCCGGGGAGGAAGCCACGGTCGGAGACCAAGGCATCCGGCTGCGCATGCATGCACATGCGCAGTTTGGCCAGGAGCCGGGGATGCACCGGTAGAGGGACGGGCTGGCGATCCCACCGCCATGCTTGCCGCAGCCGTTCAGGCCTATCCCGGGCCAAACCCCTCCGTGTGACCAGGACCTGAAGTGATTAAAGGAATGGAACAGTTTCCTTATGAAGGAAGGTTAAAGAGGATAGGGCTCTTTAGCATGGAGAAATGATGATTGAGGGTACATGATTGAGGTTTACAAAATTATCCGTGGGATAGAGCAGGTCGAGAAAGAAGTACTTTTCTCCCTTTCTCACAATACAAGAACTCGTCGGCAGGGCACTCCATGAAATTGCTGAGCAGTCGGGTTAGAACAGGTAAAAGGAAGTACTTCTTCTCCCAAAGAGTGATTAACCCATGAAATTCATTGCCACAGGAAATGGTGGTGGCTACAAGCATAGACAGCTTCAAGAGGGGATTGGACAAACATATGGAGCAGAGGAAAAGAGTAAGAGTCCAGTAGCACCTTAAAGACTTACAAAAAATTTGTGGTAGGGTATGAGTTTTCGTAAGTCACTCATAGTCTTTAAGGTGCCACTGGACTCTTGCTCTTTTCTACTGCTAATACTGCATATTAGGCCACACACCCCTAGTGTAGCCAATCCTCCAGCTTACAGTAGCCCCAGTAAGAAGAGCTCTGTAAGCTCTTGGAGGATTGGCTACACTAGGGGTGTGTGGCCTAATATGCAAAGAAGCTCCTGCTACCAGTAGAGCCCTGCCGGAAGCGAGTGGAGATCCAGAGGTGGCCTTCAACCTGGAAAATGTGCCTGTCCCTGATCCTCAGGGCTTACCTGCTGCTTCATGATTTTTGTATGTTTGTAAAGGAACAGATCCTGCCAACCTAGCAGTTCGAAAGCAAGAAATTGCAAGTAGATAAATTGGTACCACTTTGGTGGGAAGGTAACAGCATTCCGTGCGCCTTGGTGTTTAGTCATGCCGGCCACATGACCACGGAAACGTCTTCGGACAGCGCTGGCTCATCGGCTTGGAAACGGAGATGAGCACCGCAACCCTAGAGTCAGATTCGACTGGCTTTCGAGCAAGGGAACCTTTACCCACAAACCCCCAAATATCTAGTACTCTTTCTTCCCAAGGAAGACTCCCGTATGAAGCTTTCGAGCAAGGGAACCTTTACCCACAAACCCCCAAATATCTAGTACTCTTTCTTCCCAAGGAAGACTCCCGTATGAAGCCGTGGCTCAGTGGTAGAGCATCTGCTTGGCATGCAGAAGGTCCCAGGTTCAGTCCCCGGCACCTCCAGCTAAAAGGAGCAGGCAGGAGGTGATCTGGAAGATCTCTGCCTGAGACCCTGGAGAGCCGCTGCCTGTCTGAGTAGACAAAACTGTCTTTGACGGACCTGTTGGATATTGTAACTCTGCATGCAAGAGGACCGGGGAGGAAACCGGTTAAGAGAATTCTCTCTCCGGGTACACCTGGCCGTTCGCTCCGCCCTCTTGCCAGTTAGATGTGGAGCCTCTTTGGCTGCTGCTTCCCTTTTGTTTGTCATCTTATATAGAACCTCCTCCTCCTCTATCTTACCTGGGCTTGGAGCTGTAACAAGTCAACCTCTTTTGGAGTTAATCTGTTCACAATTGATTAAGTTTACCTAGATAAATGTGTCATGTAAGGTGTGCTGCCGTTTTTGTAAGAAAAGAATTCTTTCTCTTGTTAACCATTGGAGTCAGATCATGTTTTGTTTGAATAGCATTTTCCCCTTAACCGGGAGACACGGAGGATCGGGGGGATACTGTATAAAGCTTCAGCGCTTCCAAGGCAAAATTGATTATTACTTTTTTTTTATGTTTAACCCAAGAGGACCAAGGGTCTTATTCAGTATCAGGCAGTTTCATTTGTTTATGCGAAATTCCTGCAGCTTGGAAGAAAAACATTCTCTCTGTTGATAACATAACCTTAGCACAGGGGTGTCAAACGTGGCCCGGGGGCCGGATCAGGCCCCCGGAGGGCTTCTATCAGGCCCGCAGTGGAACTGGCTGTCTTCTACTTCTTCTTCCAGTTCTGCTGCTGCTGCGTCATTGTAGGTCTGCAGCTTACAGATACACACCTGAACATACTCAGGATTGCAACAGCACAGACATTTTGAGGCAATAATTCAGAGCAAGGGGTGTCTGTTATCAGACACTGTTCAATAAACAAAATATTGCAAGAGTGCTGATGTTTTAAGCATGTTTTTATTTTAAGTTTTAAAAAAACCCTTTGTGTTTGTGTCCTTTAGAAAGTTTAAATCTCCGCTACCTGGCATTACGTTTTATGACACACGTGGCTCAGCCCTACAAGGTCTCATTTATTGTCAGATCCAGCCCTCATAACAAATGAGTTCGACACCCCTGCCTTAGCCTGTTCCTTTCGACCAGCTCTTTCTTTCAGTTGCTTTGGCTTATCCCACTCATTCCTTGGGAAACCTTTCTCCTCCACCACCAACCCCCACCCCACTCCGTGGCCACTTAAAGGGACTTTTGTGTTTGTGTCCTCACAGGAAACTCGAAGCAAGGCCTGCGGTGCAAGACATGCAAAGTCAGCGTGCATCTGTGGTGTTCAGAAGAAGTTTCACATCAGCAGTGTTCGGGCAAAACAGTAAGCAGCTAAGTCAGTGCATGCCTGCTTTTAGCATCTGAAAAATCCAAGAGGGGGTCACAAGTATCCAGGAGGAAAATACAACAAACACTGTGACATGAGTGACTAGAACATTTAGTAAAGATCATGTAGTATGATGAATCAAACTTTACAAAATCACAAGGAAAAGTCCATCATACTCTCAATAAAACTTTACAAAATTACAAGGAAAGTCCACCATACTCAATTACAAGGAAAGTCTATCATACTCAATGAGCACCCGGATATAAACTCATTTCATCCCAGTCTTCCTCAGGAGTAATCCTATTGTATAGCAAGGTATCAGCTTCTTGATACAGTTCAATGTCTGTTAGGGGCAAACCAATGCTTAACTTCTTTATTTTCTGCACTTTATCCTAGAAGAAATCCATGTTATTTTAATTGAAAAGAAACATGGAGCTGAATTGAATCCTATTATTTTATATTGTTAATTTATAAATTCTTAGCTTAATTATTTAGTTCTTAAATTTTATAGAACTGGCTTCTGGTGCCATTTTGAGTGTCAGTATTACGAGCATCTGGCCGAAAGGGAGGAGAGAGGACCACGGCTTCCGTGTTCCCTCCCAGCCTCCACTCTGGGGCAAGAGAAGTGCCACCATTTCTGTGCTGCCTAGCGTATAGGGCTCAGGGGTCCCCAACCTTTTTGAGTCTGTGGGTGCCTTTGGAATTTGACCCCGCACGGTGGGTGCGCCGCAGGCAAAAGTGGAGGCCACAAAATGGAGGCTCCTGGAGGCGGAGCCAGGCACAAAATGGCTGCCACAGCTCGACTTCAGTCACACAGTGCAGGTCCTTGTGCTCTGGTGGCAGCTTGCTACCAAAGTAACACTTTTAAAAAATCTGCACAGCCAATCAGAAGCCTTGCGGGGCAAAAGCCTCCCTCTGGCCCCACCCACTTTCTGAAAATTCTTGGCGGGTGCCAGAAAAGGTGTCAGCGAGCACCCCGTGGTGCTTGTGGGCATCATATTGGGTACCCCTAGAATAGGTTGTCACGGGTTTTGGGTTGCTTGAGGCCAGTTCACAAGAGTTGGATTACCTTAGTAAGGTTGCCAGGTCTGGGTTGGGAAATACCTGGAGACTTTGGGGGTGGAGCCATGAGAGGGCGGGGTTTGGGGAGGGGAGGGGCCTCAGCATGGTACAGTGCCACAGAGTCCACCCTTCAAAGCAGCCGTTTTCTCCAGGGGACCTGATCTCTGTCAGCTGGAGATCAGTTGTAAAAGCAGGAGATCCCCCCAGGCCCCACCTGGAGGCTGGCAACCCTACGTTTAAGAATTCACAAGAGCAAATGCAGGGGTCATTTCCTGCAGGAGCGCACAGGGTTTACACTGTTGGATTAGGAGGGGAAGGGGCTGTGTAGTACAGAAAGAGAGGTACCGTGGACCTTTCTCCCGACGATTGCCCAAAAGCAGGGGTAATTTCATGCAGGAGCGCACAGGAGCGGAGCTCCGACATTAAAGAGCCCAGGGGGCGGGCACATGCAACAAGCCCCACCCCCTGCTCCCAGCAGCCCTCAGTCAGAGCAAGAAGCAGCCAGGGAAGCTGCAGAGCCTCCCGGCCCCCTGGTCCAAAACAGTCCAGCGGCACCTTTAAGACCAAGTTTTATTCACATACAAGCTAGCATAACTCATTAGCGTAACTTATTTGCATATGCCACACACCCTGATGTCACCGGACGTGTGTCAGAAGGCAACCCCCACCGCTCAGGCTCCACTGGACTGTTTTGGATTGCTAGCTAGTGGGGGGGGGGGGGAACATGCAGATCTGTCCCTCACAGAGGAGGGAGAGCTTGTACCTGAATAAAACTTGGTCCCAAAGGTGCCACTGGACTGTTTTGGACCGAGGGGCCGGGGGGAGCGCTGTAACTTACCTGGCTGCTTCTTGCTCTGACTGAGGGCTGCTGGGAGCAGGGGGTGGGGCTTGTTGCATGTGCCCGCCCCCTGGGATCTTTACTGCCGGAGCTCCACTCCTGTGCGCTCCTGCATGAAATTACCCCTGCTTTGGGGCAATCGTCGGGAAAAAGGTCCACGGTACCTCTCTTTCTGTACTGCACAGCCCCTTCCCCTGGACAGAAGAAGCTCATCACATTTCTCTCACTCCCATTCTTCAGCAGGCTACCTCCTTCCGACGTAATCTCAGCTCCCCGATGCTGGTCCACGAGCCGCAACCACAGCCAGCGGCCGCCAAGGAACCTCCCCCAGCAGGTGAGACTGGGACAGACCTGGGGGGGGGGGCAGCAGACATTGAGACCCAGTGTGGGGCAGGGTTTACACTGTCGGATGAGGCGCAGAGAGGCCTAGGTTCAAAGCCCGACTTGGCCATGAAGCACGCTGCCTGCCCCCGTGGGACATTTGTTCTCTCTTGGCCAAATCAACCTCGCAGGGTCGTTGTGAGGATAACATGCCTGCAGTCCCAAGTCCTCTGGAGAGAAGGGAGGATGGAAATATAACAGGCGGACAGATGTGATGTTTTGCAATCTCAGCTCAGGAAAGACTGTGAGCCTTTTCAATTCCCAAGAACAGATTTTGAGTAACAGACCATTCCAATTATTTATGGAAAAAGTAGGGTAACCACTGGCCAGGAGGAAAAGACTAGGTTTTGGGGTTTTTTAGAGGTTTAATAGGATGTTACTTAACAGGTGAAGTTATTTACCTCTACCCCATCTGAAATATACTGGGTTCGAAACGTGTATAGTGATCAGCTCATAGTTTATTAGTGATTTCAGCTTAACTCCAAGTCAACTCTAGCAGGGCCAGAGCCCTGCTTCTATGCATGCAAAACACCCCACCCCCCACACACACACTCCCCCATGATAGGCTATTTACAAAACATTACTACTCGCTTGGTTTATTCCCGAGTCCTGGTCGGCTATTGTTCTTGTGCTTCAAGCTCAGCCAGTCTCTAGGGTGATTCAATCAGGGACGATTCAATCTCAATAAATAACACCATCAAAAACTTTAGCTGCCCTTTTCCATACCTAAAGCTTCTACTAAAGGGCAGGGGTCATTTGGGGGGGGGACGCGGGTGACGCCATCCCCCCGGGTGAGGTGCGGGAGGGCGGGGCCTGGAGGTCGCCGCCGGCTGTGGGGAGGACACACTTCCGGTGATGTCAGGGTGTGTGGCATATGCTAATGAGTTATGCTAATGAGTCTCCCTAGCTCTTTTTCTACGAAATGACCCCCGCTAAAGGGGCAGGATATTTATCTCCAGGCCTGTTGTCAACCCTAGCAAAGGGGTAATTTAGGATTTGTAGTTGCCAGTCCGGAAGTGGGCAGGAGATAACAATCTAACTGGTGGATTTCTTCTTTCTTGGTTCATGGGCACAGTTTCAGCCGACACTGTTGTTAAAACCAACGAGATCATTAGTGAGGTTTCATCTGAGGCAGAATGGTTCTTCAGAGTCAGGTCTCAGCCCTGAAACAATAAACAAATGGTTTACAGAGAGCCTTTGAGCATGTGCAGAGTACTGCCCGTCTCACCGGTCAGAAGCCACCTGCAGCTGGGACAAGGGAAAGCAGATAAAAAGGGATCTGCCTCCCTGGGTCCCAACCTCTTTGGTAGAGTGATCCACAAGTCCAGATTTACTTGGCCTGGTGACCCACTTGAAAAACAACGAAAGAGGATGCACAGATCAGTATAATTGCAAAAATTATGTATTATTTTATTCTATTTATTTGTAGCCTGCCTTTCTCCCCAGTCTGGAGGGAAAGTGATTTCCAGAGGAAAGAAATCACATCCCCCTCTCTTGCCAGAGTACGAGGATTGATCCCTGAGTCCCTCTTCCCTCTTCCAGCAGGCCCCAGTGGGAAAGTGGATCCCGTTTACGAGACCTTGCGCTACGGAACATCGCTGGCCCACTGGAATCGTTCCAGTTTCAGCAGCACCTCGGAGTCGCCCACCAAGAGTCTGGTACGGTCCCTCCCTCAGTGTGAGAACTTCCCTTTGATTGCCTGAACTGATCCCTCGCTGTGGAAAAGAGCAAGAGTTCAGGAGCACCTAAAAGACTGACGACATTTGTGGCAGGGGAGGAGCTTTCGTGAGTCACGGCTCACTTCACTCACGAGACCTCCTCCCCTGCCACAAATGTGGCTAGTCTTTAAGGTGCTCCGGGACTCTTGCTCTTTTCTACTGCTGCGGACAAACTAACCCGGCTACCCGTCTTAAGAACATAAGAGACGCCAATGTTGGATCAGGCCAAAGGCCCATCCAGTCCAACACTCTGTCACACAGTGGCCAGAAATACCAGGTGCCATCAGGAGGTCCAGCAGTGGGGCCAGAACTCCAGAAGCCCTCCCACTGTTGACCCCCCCAAGCACCAAGATGACAGAGCATCACTTGGCCCAGACCGAGAGTTCCTCTCTATACCTTGTGGCTAATAGCCACTGATGCTTATCTAATTCCCTCTTGAAGCCATCCATGCTTGTAGCTGCTGCTGGTGGACCTCCTGAGGGCACCTGGTGTTTTTGGCCACTGTGTGACAGAGTGTTGGACTGGATGGGCCATTGGCCTGATCCAACACTGGCTTCTCTTATGTTCTTAGGAGCAGAAGTCCATCAGTGGCTATTAGCTACAAGGTATAGAGAGGAACTCTCAGTCTGGGACAATTGGTGCTCTGTATTCTTGGTGCTGGGGTGGGGGGCATCAGTGGGAGGGCTTCTAGTGTCCTGGCCCCGCTGGTGGACCTCCTGAGGGCACCTGGTGTTTTTGGCCGCTGTGTGACAGAGTGTTGGACTGGATGGGCCATTGGCCTGATCCAACATTGGCTTCTCTTATGTTCTTACCACTAAGGCACTTTTCAGTGAGGCCACAGATATTTGTGTTGAAGTCGCTCTTACATGTGGCCGCCCATTTCTCCTAGAACGAGAAAGAAGAAGTGACCGAGGACCCAGAAGGTGGCCGGCAGATGGCTGAGGAAAATCAGGTTGATAACGGTAAGCGAGGCCACCACCCTTTCCTTGTAGCAACTCTCTTGGAGTGGCAGCTCCGCCCTCCCCTTCAGCCTATTCCTTACAGGACAGGGGGTGAAGAAGAGGGCAACTGCACAGATGGGGCACCCCTTGGAGACTGTAGAGACAGAAGCCATCTGGTGTTTTTTGCTCACTTCAGAAGCCTGACAGTCCTCTCTTGTTTTGTTTCAGTGTTCACCATGCCGGCAGAGGGCGAGGGTACCCCGTCAGAGGAGAAGAGTCCAGGGCAGCAGGTGGAAAAACATACTGCTTTACACATAGACCCCCCCCCCCCCCCGTTCTGTGTTGCACTTTGGCCCTTCCACAATTCCCAATGTGAAAATTGGTACTTTCTGTAAAACAGTAGCCGTTTTTGTTTTTTAACATGAGGCTAAAGCATACTTAAGGAGCTGCGGTGGCTCAAGTGGTTAAGACGCTGAACTGCAGGCTGTGGAAGGTCGGTAGTTCAGCAGTTCGAGACCCGAGTGTGCCGCATGACGGAGTGAGCGCCCGTCTCTAGGTCCAGCTCCTAACAACTTAGCAGTTTGAAAGCAAGAAATTGCAAGTAGATAAATAGGGACCACTTTGGTGGGAAGGTAACAGCGTTCCGTGCGCCTTGGTGTTTAGTCATGCCGGCCACATGAGTCATGACCACGGAAACGTCTTCGCACAGCGCTGGCTCTTCGGCTTGGAAAGGGAGATGAGCACCGCAACCCTAGAGTCGGACTCGACTGGCTTTCGAGCAAGGGAACCTTTACCTTTTAAAGCATACTTACTGAGCAGTGTTCCCTCTGAGTTAGTGTGAGCTAGCCCACAATTTTTTAGCCTCCGGCTCACACATTCTTGTCTCAGCTCAGGAAGGATGGCTCCAGGGCAAACTAACTGATGCAGCAGCCAAATCGCTCCCTCACAACTTTAATGCCAGCAGTTCACAAAGCAGGATTTTTCCTCACAAGACTCCGCAGCTTAGAGAGAGCATTGCTTGCTGGGCATCCTTTCTTTTTAACATTGTGCTAAAGCAGGGGTCCCCATTCTGGTGCCCGTTGGCAGCATGGCGCCTTCCAACACCTTTCCTGGTGCCCAGGTGTTTTTAGAAAGTGGGTGGTGCTAGGCAGGGCTTTCCCCCAGCAAGTCTTCTGATTGGCCATCAGAGATTTGATTGGCTGTGCATTTTTTTTTTAATGTTGCTTTGGCGGCAGCTGCTCCTGCCGCACGAGGACCTATACTTGTGTGACTGACGTTAGGCTGAGACAATCGTTTTGTGGCTGGCTCTGCCTCCCGGGGCAGCCATTTTGTGGCAGCCATTTTGTTACTGCACTCACCATGCCGTGTTAGAATTCCAGTGTGCCCACAGGGTCGAAAAGGTTGGGGACCCCCCTGACCTATCCAGCCCAGGCAAGCCCGATCTAGTCAGATCTCGGAAGCTAAGCAGGGTCAACATTGGCAAATACTTGAATGGGAGACCTCCTTGAAATACCTGGGGCGGGAGGTGGGGTCAGGCTTTATTCAGCCACCTCTCAGAATATCCTTCAGGCCCCCAGTAGAGGTCAGTCACCAGTAGTCGCCATGACTTCCACGTGCACACGCACATATATATATTTTTTTAAAAAATAGGTTGGGGACCCCTGTGCTAAAGCATAGTTGCTGGGCATCTAAATATACAGTTATTAGAGAGAAAGGAGTCTATTGCACAGCGGTTTCCCCACCATTTGAGGGCCGAAAGGCGGCCATTTCTCTCTCATTTTCCTCATAAAATCATTGTTCATTGTTTGTGTGGTGTTTTCCTCAATATTCCTTTAAACCGTGTTGTGAGAAAGTTCACAGAAAACGAAACTCTGTAGTTCAGCACCCCAAACTGTGAGAAACCCTCTGTGTGAAAAGACCCCATTATTTCCCTAATCGTTTTGATTTTTATTAGCTGTTGCAGATTTTCCGGGGTTTATGGCCGTGGTCTTGGCATTGTAGGACCTGACGTTTCGCCACTAGCTGTGACTGGCATCCTCAGAGGTATAACACAGAAAGATGGAGTACCTCCAAGGATGCCAGTCACAGCTACTGGCGAAACGTCAGGTCCTACAATGCCAAGACCACGGCCATACAACCTGGAAAATCTGCAACAGCTAATGAACTCCGGCTGTGAAAGTCTTTGACAACAGATTTGATTTTTAGTTTGGTTAGATTTCACTAAGGCTTTTGATAAGGTTCCACATAATAATATTGTTGACAAGTTGGTAAAATGTGGCTTGGATCCTATTACTCTTAGGTGCATCTGTAACTGGTTGACAAATAACTGGTTGACAAATCGCATCCAGAGAGTGCTTGTTAATGGTTCCTCGTCCTCTTGGAGAAGAGTGACAAGTGGAGTGCCTCAGGGATCTGTCCTGGGACCTGTTTTGTTCAACATCCTTATAAATGATCTGGATGAAGGAATAGAGGGAATGCTTATTAAATTTATAGGTGATACTAAATTGGGAGGGGTAGCAAATACAGGAGAAGACAGAGTCAGGATACAGGATGATTTTGACAGTCTGGAAAACTGGGCTAAAACAAATAAAATGTCTTTCAACGGGGATAAATGTTAAGTTCATTGTCAATCTTCTGTGCAGTCCCACATGTGGAGTGTGCATGCGCAGGCTTGCCAATCAGTAGGTATACACTCTAAGCCTCCAGGGGGTGCAGTGCTCTGGAGCCATAAGCTTGTCCCCACCCACAGCCACATGCTCCCGCACACCAGTGCCACTTACCCTCAGATCCTTTTCTGCCACCGTAGGTCGTGTCTTCGCTGCCTCCTGCATTCTTATGGCTAGATGCAGAGCTACAATTTGCCTTCTATTCCTAATGGTGCAGAAGGCTTTATTCAAAAAGTGCGCCCGCTGCGGTGCAAAAATGATACAAACCGATGCTCATGATTTGTGCCTCTTTTGCCTCTGAGCAGGCCATGTGACTTCCTCATGTAAAGCCTGTCTACAATTCACCTCCAAGGTTCACAGTGAGGGGGATCTTAAGCTAAAGGCCACTTTTTGGGAAAAGGCTCTCAATCCTCCTGCAGCAAGACCAGGGATCACCCTTCTGAACAACTGGGTTCGTCTCACTCGGCTCCGCCCCTCAGCTCCACAACCCAGCAGGCCCAGGCTAACTCAACTTCACCATCTCATAACAGAGCTCCACCTGAGCCTCTAGCCAAAAAGACCGAAAAGGGAAAGGACAAGACCAAACAGATCATAGAATGTTAAGAGTTGGAAGGTACCTTGCAGGTCATCTAGTCCAACCCCCTGCACTCTGCAGGAGCATAGCTGAAAGATAGCTCTACATACCTACAACATACCCGAAAGATGGTCGTCCAGCCTCTGCTTGAAAACATCCAGCGAAGGAGCATCCACCACCTCCCGAGGCAGACTGTTCCACTGCTCAACCACTCTGACAGTTAGGAAGTTTCTCCTGATATTTAGCCAGTAACGACTCCCTTGTAATTTCCACCCATTAGATCTGGTCTTGCAATCTGGAGCAAGAAAGAATAGATCTGCTCCATCTTCTACATGACAGCCCTTCAAATACTTGAAGACTGCAATCATGTCCCCTCTAAGCCTTTTCTTTCCCAGGCTAAACAGACCCAACTCTTCCAGTCTTTCCTCGTAAGACTTGGATTCCAACCTTCTCACCATCCTGGTTGCCCTCTTCTGGACACGCTCGAGCTTGTCAACATCCTTCCTAAAATGTGGTGCCCAAAACTGGACACAGGACTCCAGGTGGGGCCTGACCATAGCAGAATAGAGCGGAACGACCACCTCCCTTGATCTGGACACAATGCTTCTGTCAATGCATCCTAAGATTGCATTCGCTTTCTTCACAGCCATAGCGCACTGCAGGCTCATGTTTCGCACATACAGGCTCAGTGCTTCGAGTATTCGTATCCTGGAACTGGGTCCCCCCAAACAGGGTCCAGCTCGACCTCTGACTCCGATATCTCCATGGATTTGTTGTCCAAAGGAAAGTTCTGTCACGAGCGACCACCTGGCCAACTTGTGGCATCTGCTGACATGGACCTGTACCCGATGTCCCCGCGTTATCTAGCTGAATGGGACTGGGGCTATCGTGGCCCGTCTGGCTCAGCTGAGTATGAGTATGACCGCCTTTATCATGTTTACTCAACGGTTCTGTCAGTCTGGCCTCTGTCCCCCGGAGCCGACACGCAAGTGGAGAGGGATGCTGATTCCAGTGCTTCAGAGCCGAGCCCTGATGAACAAGCTGGTGAGACCTCTGCTCCCTCACCGACCAAGGATTTTAAAATGGATGGTGAGCAGATGTCACGGATGGCGCAATCCCTGGAGAATGAGCTCTTGACCACTGGACTTAAGCCCAAGGAGAAGATCCTGAGCAAACTGTACTCTGACATACCCAGAACCATTGTCTGCTCTGTCCTAAAGGGCCAAGACGACATCACTTAACAAGTTGGGCAGTGTCCGGCTTCTATACAACCCAATGCCAAATGTGTAGAGAAACTCTATCGGGTTAAGAAGAAACCCCTTATTTTCCCATGCATCTCCCACCATCGTCGCTTACCATGGAAACAGGGGTCATTTCGTAGAAAAAGGTGCAGGAGCTCATTAGCATTACTCATTAGCATTACCTATTTGCATATGCCACACCCCCTGACATCACCGGAAGTGTGTCAGAAAGCAACACCCACCGCTCAGGCTCCACTGGACTGCTTTGGATTGCTTGCTATGGGGGGGGGGGGACGTGCAGATCTGTCCTCACAGAGGAGGAAGAGCTTGTACCTGAATAAAACTTGCTCTTAAAGGTGCCACTGGACTGTTTTGGACCGGGGGGCCGGGGGAGGCTCTGCAACTTACCTGGCTGCTTCTTGCTCTGACTGAGGGCTGCTGGGAGCAGGGGGCGGGGCTTGTTGCATGTTCCCCTGCCCCCTGAACTCTTTACTGCCGGAGCTCCGCTCCTGTGTGTTCCTGCAGGAAATGACCCCTGCATGGAAGAGATGCAGCCCAGGGGTAGGCAGTCATTCCACGCCGTCCCTACAGATGAAGAGGGCCGCAAATTGAATGCGGTGAGTTAGAAGGTTTGTGCTTCTGCTTCGCTGGGGTTTAAAGTAGCCAGTTATGAGGTGGTCATAGCTTGGTACCAACTCTTTTGATGTTATACTTCCCACCGACACTTCCTTACTGGGCTGGGGAGCTCATTGTGGGGAGTCATCGGCTTCAGGCACTTGTGGGAAGAGAACATCACACAAACCGGTTTGAGTTGAGAGCTGTTCGAAACGCCCTTATCTGTTTCTCAGATTGGTGGCTCGATCGATCCTGCCGCAGGTGGACAATACAATGATCATGTTCTACGTCAACAAGGAGAGTGGCGCGGGATTGTGCGACCTCTGCCTAGAAGCTACTGCGGTCTGGCGTCTTGTTTTGGACGGGAACGCTACCATACAGACCATCCATATCCCTGGTGTCTTAAATGCACAGGAGGACAGACTAAGCAAGATGAAGGGTCCATCCCACGAATGGTCCCACACTTTGAGCTATCTCCTTCCCATCTTTGAAACTTTGGGGACTCAGGAACTGGATTTGTTCACTACTCAACACAACTCCAAAACAAACAAAAAAATTGTTCCCGGGCAGGCTGGGGGAAGGGATTCCTACGCAATGCCTTCCAGATCTCTTGGACGGGGGGGGGACTCCTTTAAGCTTTCCCGCCTCTTCTCCTCATCATCAGAGTACTGGAGAAGGCCAGGCGGAAGCGAGTGAGCTTAATTTTGGTAGCACCCCGCTGGCCTCAGCAGGTGTCGTTCCATCGGCTCACCGACCTGGCCCAAGGTTGCTTCATTCATTTGCCCGAAACACAAGACTTCATAACCCTTGATGGGGTCTTTCACCAGGATCTCCGCAGATTCCATCTGACAGCTTGGTGGGGATCAAACATAATTTTTTTTGAGAAGTGTCCGAGGTACATAAGAACATAAGAGACGCCAATGTCGGATCAGGCCAAAGGCCCATCCAGTCCAACACTCTGTGTCATACAGTGGCCAGAAATACCAGTGCCACCAGGAGGTCCACCAGTGGGGCCAGGACATTAGAAGCCCTCCCACTGTTGACCCCCCCCCAAGCACCACGATGACAGAGCATCACTTGCCCCAGAGCCCCTATCTGTACCTTGTGGCTAAAAGCCACTGATGGACCTCTGCTCCATATGCTTATCTAATTCCCTTTTGAAGCCGTCCATGCTTGTAGCCGCCACCACTTCCTGTGGCAGTGAATTCCGTGTGTTAATCACTCTTTGGGTGAAGAAGGACTTCCTTCTGAACTCTTGCAAACCATCCACTAGGTGCTTTTATGCTTTTAAGTGGAACTGTTTCTGTGATGTAGGGACCGAGGGGTCTTCCCCCAAAAGGCACCCCTCCGTGAGGTTTTTTGATTACGTAGTAGAGTTATAGAATAAGGGTCTAGGTTTTTCTTCCCTCAAGGCCCATTCTCGCTGCCATTTCTTCCCTCCACGAGGGCTTGGAAGGTACTTCCCTTTTCTCCCATTTTTTGGTGAAGTGCTCCCTTAAGGGGCTAGCAAACGTGTGTCCCCCGAGAGACCCTGAGATCATTCCCCAGTGATCCCTCACCTTAGTTTTGATTGGTTTGGTGCGAAAGCCCTTTGAGCCTCTCACTATATGTCCGAGAGCCCTCCTAGCCATTGTCCATGTTAAGTCGCCCGCTTAACAAAGAAGTCGGAGAGTGATTCAGCAAGAACACAGCTTTATTCTTCAACTCGAACACAACTCCAACACGGATCAACATCTGATAGCCAGAACAGCCTTTACATTGCAGCTGTCCTGCTTTTAAACATTCCTGGCTAATGTAGCCACACCTACTGTACAAATACCAACCAATAAGGTTGTTCGTATAAGGACCAATCACGGATGTTCCTGCTCAGGGAGCTTGCTGTGAAGTGATTGGCTTGTTACTTCCTGGGCTAGCGATACGATTGGATGTATTTGGATCCTAGCCCAGGATGAAGCTTAACATTGCTTTTCAATGAGATGTTTCACATACATTCTGCATTCCATGGCAGCTTTGGAATACACTACAGTCCCGGTTCCAGGGTCCTGGGATGTAACCCACACCCCTCAGGGACCCCAACGACCACCAACTCACCTAGGAGACCCACAGACCAGGAATACCACGGAGCGAGGAGCCTCGAGGAGCAGCAGGAGAGGCCGACTGCGCACGGGAGAAGCTGACAGTGTACACACGAGCGCATGAGACCCTGCACGCCGCCGCTGGCGGCACAGCCCCAGGCCGACAGGACCGTCGCCGGCATAGCTCCGACCACACCCAGGCCGTAGGGACAGCGTCGGAGCTTACCATAGAGGGTGGGGCTGGGAGGAATCACAGGGAGGCGGGGCCGGGAGGCGGTGCTGGGAGAGGGAGCTGGGTATAAAGGAGAGGGAAGCGAAAGGGCCGGGGAGGAAGGACGTGCTCGGAACTACCTGACGCTGGCAGAGAGAGGAGGAGTCCAGGGAGGATGCTGAGAAGCCAATGCACGAAGGTAGAGGGACCTACGGAGTGCCATTAAACTCCGTCCCCTACCCATCTGAGGCCCAACGCTCCCCCTCTTCTTTAACAGGCCTCAACTTTCAGAGCCGTAGGACCTCCTCCGCCTTGAGACACCACGGTTATGGGAGGGGCTGCGCCCGGAGCCCAGGGCGGGCTTGACATCCATGAAGGTGGGTTTTTTTGGTGGCCATTACTTTGGCCAGGCGAGTTAGTGAGTTAACCACTCGTTGAGCAGAACACCCCTTTTTGAAGTTTCTCCCGGGACGTATGGTCCTTCGGCCTAGCCTGAGTTTTCGGCCAAAGGTCGTGTCTAAATTTCGTTTGTCCCAAGACATTGTATTACTTGTCTTCTTCCCTAACCCCACTTCTGAAGGAGAATAGGAGCTTCATTTGTTGGGTGTTAGGAGGGCCTTACTCTTCTATTTGAAGCGAAACGCCGAGTACCACATGTGTTTTGCAGGTCCGAGGGTAGGGACCCTCCCAAGTATTGTTACAACCTGGCTGATTCTCCTTCCCCACTGGGAGTTCGAGCTCATTCTACAAGAGCTGTGGCATCTTCGACTGCATTCTGGAGTCGTGTCCCTCTGGAAGAGATCTGCAGAACTGCCACCTGGACTTATTCTGTCACCTTTGTGTGACATTATGCTTTGGATGCCGCAGCCAGAAGAGAAGTGGAATTTGGAAAGGCTATACTCCACTCCCTGTTTAATTAGGTGAGCATGTTCCCACCTCTTTATAGAGCTTGTTGAAATCCCCATGTGGGACTGCACAGAAGATCAACGATGAAAACTGGGTTGCTTATCTGTAACTGTTGTTCATCGAGTATCTTCTGTGCAGGCACACGTGCCCTCCCTCCTGCCCCACAATATGCTCTTGGCAGCATGCAGGAGCTGAGGGTAAGTGGCGCTGGTGCGCAGGAGCACATGGCTGTGGGTGAGGACAAGCTTATGGCTCCAGCACACTGCACCCCCCTGGAAGCTTAGAGCTGTATACCTACCGATCGGCAGGCTTGCACATGTGCAGCCCCCATCAATGCTCCCTCTAAGCTGTGGAGTCTTGTGAACAAAAATTCCCCTTTGTGAGCTACTGGCATTAAACCTATGAGCCAGCAATTTGGCTGCTGCACGAATTAGCTTGCTC